TGCCAAAGATTGTATGCGTTTGGCACATCTTCCAATCACTCCAAAAGAAAACACGATGCTGTAACACCATCGCTCCACAACGTTCCTCAATTTTATTGTCTTATTCCTTTTTTCTTGCGAATGCTCACTATGGTGGGAAGGTTAACAAATCAGGAGGACATATATAGTATGGTTTCTTTTCATTTTAAGTGTGTTTCATGCTTATATATTTTGCAAACATGATACATTTGGATTCTCACCAAAATTTTAGTATTCATTGCAATTTGGATAATTAAAATTTTATTTATGTTGAGGAAAAAAGTGACCTGACGTGGTCATCAATAATGCTGCATTTTTGGGAATTTTTCCAGAAATACCACCATAAAAAAATAAATTCCAAATATACCACCCTTTTCAAAAAAAATTTCAAAAATACCACTCTTTTTCACAAACCGCAGGGTGAGGGCACGGTTTGCACAATAACCGTCGGATGTAGGCGTTTCAATACTTTTGGTGATAAACGCAGGGGGGAGCTGCGTTTCACATTCTAACCGCCGCCCCCTGGGCGGTTTACAAATCACTTCCATTAAATAGTCTTTTACTCCAATGCATACTCTCTACAACAAACCACTTCCATTAAATACTATAAATCTTCCATGCACGTCCAACACAATGCATGCCCTCTACCACGCTAATTATCATATATATAAGTACTAATTGATTAATTAATTATCATGTATATAACAATTGTATTATTATAATGTAATTATGTATGCAATTTAGTCCGAATAAGTAATTGAACTAATGATTGAAATACCATACTGTAACGGCGGTTCAACAAGAAATTTTTTCTACCGGAAGCTAAATCTGCAGGTGGTATTTAACGGTATCAGCCAAACTATTATTGTTTAATTCAAGGATTGAAAATCATACCGGGTTGTACCGTATAACTCAGTGGTAGGGTATTTTATGCTAAAATCGTTGTTTAGCCATGGTTCAACCGCTTCATACCATTAAATACCATCTACCGATTTAGCCTCTGGTAGAAGATTTTTCTGGTTGAACTGTCGTTACGATACGGTACGGTATTTGAATCCTTACTTTAATTATGTATCCATACTAAATTGCATACATATTACATAATAAGAATAATAAAATTATTATTAATTAATACAATTATTAATATTAATTAGTACTTATATATATATATATGGTGGCTTCTATGGTACCCCGGGTGAAATCCGGGGTACCGCATACCTCGAGTATGTAAACTCTATCTAGACCTCGAATTACCAGGATTTTTGTGTCTGATATTATACCCTAACCCTTAATGAGTGAACCCTAGGTCATAATTATCTAAATCATAATCTATAAACCCTAAGATGGTGCATTCATTTTTGTGCCTATATTTGGATGAATCATAACCGTCGATTATTATTTCTAATTAAATTGATCTTAGAGTATAAGATTGGGAGAGTTAACACCTAGATTTTGATCTTTAAGTGTTAGAGTATAGTATCATGTCCGAAAGATCGGTCAATTCAAGGTCTAGATAGTGTTTTCATACTCAAGGTATGTGGTACCCCGAATTTCACCTAGGGTACCGTAAAACTCGCCATATATATATATATATATATATATATAATCGAAGTGCATGCATTCTGTTGCACGTGCATGGAAGAATTATAGTATTTAATGGAAGGGGTTTGTTGTAGAGGGCATGCATTGGGGTAAAAGACTATTTAATGGAAATGATTTGTAAACCGCACAGGGAGGCAGCGGTTATAATGTGAAACTCAGCTCCCCGCTGCGGTTATCATCAAAAGTATTGAAACGCTGCCATTCTCGGCGGTTATTGTGCAAACCGTGTCCTCACCCTGCGGTTTGTGGAAAAGAGTGGTATTTTTGGAAATTTTTTGAAAATGGTGGTATTTTTTAAATTTAATTTTTTTATGGTGGTATTTCTGGAAAAAGTCTGCATTTTTGTCTTGATTAATCTGGTCACAAGTTTTTTTTAAGCCAAAATAAGCCCCGGGACATGGTTGTACAACAAATTTATAATAAAGACAAGAATAAACAACGATAACTCGTATACAACCGGACTCCGACAATAATTAATTATGGTCACTTGGGGAGCGTAAAAAAAATCTGGTCATGGGTTGGGATTAATTAAGGTGGTAAGATGGGGAGCGTATCTTCTATCCCCAAACATCTTAACGATGTCGTCTGCCTCGATGGACATCCACAAAGCACAAGTTCAGTTAGCACTCGTTGCCTTATCCCTTCGGCTGATTCTGGTAAATCAATATAATTGTTTAAGAGTTAAGATTGATTAATGTATGTTGTCAGAAGGGATGGTGTGCTCAAAATTTATTTGGCCCAAAAAATATGGTTTTTTAACAGCCTACTATGTCCCAAAAAATTGTTTTAACCGGATGCATTTTACCTTCTGCCTTTTCCTCATAGAGCAGAAAGTTTGAAATGGAAGAGTAGTTTATCCCATTTTACCTTTATATCTAGTATAGATATTTTCATTTTATTTTTTGGGTAAAACTTGGTAGGGGTGTAAACTTATCCTAAAATCCCCCCGACCCGCCCCGACCTTAAGGGTTGGGCTATTGCAGTTTGTCTACAGGGTCAGTTTAGAATTGCGTCATTTTTTGATCCTGTAAGGGTCAGGTAGAGTCTAGTAAGCCTAGGGTTGGGTCACTTTTTGACCATGTGACTCTTAGATATGAAATTCCACATACCAACACATTGGAGCTATTTGTAAAATTTTAAAAGTTTAGGTACTAAATTGTAAAAAAACATAGGGGGTACCAAAACGTAATTTTACCATCAAAGTTTAAGAACTTATTTGTAAAAAAAAATTATGTGCTAAATAGTAAGGAAAAATAATTTTGAGTAGCAAAATATAATTTGTAAAAATCAGTTTGTGGATAAGGGGTGACCACTGACCTGACCCTCCCCGACCCTAGCGAGTTAGACAGGGTCAAGAAGAAAATAATCGGATCAGTTATTCATCTTAACCCTTTAGGGACAGGTTAGTATGGTCAGGGTCAGCTAATTTTAGCCCTAAAACCCAGCAGCTGCTTCTCTCATTTTTCTTTCCCCCTTTCTTTTTCTGGCTTTTCCTTTAAACATTCTTTGCATAATTATTTGAATCAAGCAACACAAAGTATGTTGGGAACCGAAATTCCTTATAAAACCACAGTATATAACCCATTCATTCATGAAACTTTGGGTCAAAACTTGAATTAGATGAACAATTGAAACCAAACAGGATAAAAGAGTTGTTTATCCCAATAGTCGGCTAAAAACAAAATGAATGTTGTTGCAGTCGAATCCATCTGTAAGACCACCTTTCAATTTATGAATTCATCCCAACTGGATGAAGAGATATATGGTGGTCAACATCCAATTTAAACAAATTGAAAATTTTGGCTGATAAATGATATTTACCTAAACCCAAGTAGACCCATTGATTATGGGTAAGGTATAGGTGATGTATCTGTGGGTTTGGAAGTTTGTAGATGAGTTTGGATAGGGTGTGGATATTTACTTACATAATGTAAATGTGTATGAGTTGGGTATGGATACCCATTTATTCGAGAGTGTTTTAATTACACTTACAAAAATTAGGCCTATTTGTAGAACTTTAAAAGTTTAGGTACCAAAATGTAATACAAGAAAATTTTAGGTACTAAAATGTAATATTCCATCAATACTTTGAGGACTTATATGCCAAAAAATAAATTTATATTATAAATATAAAGATCTATTAAGTTAAGATACCAAAATTTAATTTGCATAGTTGAGGCTTAATTCCTTTTTTGTTGATGTATTTATGATGATAATTATTTACTTTTTTATAGAAAAATGAAAAATATTTATTTGATATGTGTAGATGCCTAGCCAAACATTCCATGTTTATTTGTAGAAAATTCTATCCCGGGTGAAAAAGAAAAACTCTAGAGTGAAGCAAAATGAATACAAACTAGAACTCGCTTAAAATTTATTGCCTTCAAATACCATAGTGGAAAATGACGACTTTCTAATAAGTAATCACCACATATATTTATTTTTACTTGGACTCGACAGTGTGCTGAAAAAATTAGTAGTTCATGGTTCAATTATTAATTCTCTTGACTGCTGGTGAGTCGTGTACTGACCCGTTTGTACTTGTGATTAGAATACATAAAAATAGTATACTAATTAGGATTAGACGAAGAAAGCAAAGAAAGAAATAAAAAAAGGAATATAGAAGGCGAGTGAAAAATGAAACGAAAAATAAGTAGATGATGGAAAGGTTTTGACCAATTCTTGTAGTTGGCCGTCAACACAACAATCAACCCTTTACACCGTAACAATTTATTGACACTTGCTTATTTAGATATAAAATATCATATATTTTGTTACATGTAGTTCGCAGAAGTTTGTTTAAATGTACTAAATGATTTTATAAATTCCCTCTTACAATATTCTAGAGTTGTCTCTATTTTATCATTTATTTAATATTTCACGTAATGAGCAATTATAAAATGGTAGAATCTTCTTCTGCAGTTGAGTTACAACATCTTGTATGATACAAACTAAATTTATACTTCTATGTTATGATGGATTGGATTCATGGATTGGTTCAAAAGGATTGATGGATTGGATTGATGGATCTTCGTGCTCAAGGCTGAACAACGGCAACGGATCGATTGCCACGGTAGGGACGTTGTTGGGAATGACAGGGCAGCCAGACGATTTTGATGACGGACGGAAGGTGGTTCAGGAATTGTGTAGCCATGGATGGGGAAATTGAATCGGCGGTGGTTAAAACGAGAGGGGAGGAGCCTTGACGACTATGGCGATTTCGAGGGTGTCGGGATTTGGGTAGTGATGGCCGACTAGCGACAATGGTGGTTTATTGGCACAACAGAGACGTGACCTGGCAATGGCAACTGGGTTGACGACGGTGTTGACATTGATTGCCGGGGATTCGGGATGTGGGTGGTTATGGTCGATCGGCCGCAATGGCGATGGTGATTGTGGATTCACGCGGCAGAAACGATGTTGTCGATGAGCAGAAGGCGGCTATGGGGCTGATGACGAAGCTGATTTTGCCCGACGAAGTGGGGATTTTGCTGGTGAGGTCGATCGACGAAAACAACGTGGTGGTGGAGTGCTGCGGCGGAAGGGTTTCCTTGATTTGCAATGGAAAGACATGGAAGGGAACGACTGTTCTGCCTTTTGCCTTCTCTTTCTTTTTGTTTTTTTAATGTTTTATTTATTAAATTACTAAACCGGAGTCAACCAATAAATCACCAACTCAACCGGAGCCAACCAATAAATCACCAACTCAACCGGTTACAATAAAGTGGCCTGAACTTTGACCAAAATAAACATCCTAGCTAATCTTTTCGATCTATAACATCCTTGCCCGAACTATACACCAAAATAAACAATTTGGCCAAATCCGATGTTTGACCGTTAACTTGGACGGTCAAACGCGTTGACCGTTAGTCAACGCGCCATGTCACTGCCAATTCAGCATAAAATATTTAAAATAATTCACAATTTCCACACATTCCCTAATTTTAAATTATTATAAATTTAAAAAAATCATCTAATACCTTAGTTAAACAAAAAATAAAAAACGAAAAAAATTAAATTTTTATCAGATCTTCTAAGTTGGCAGTGACGTGCTAGTGACGTGGCGCATTGACCGCTAGTCAACGTGTTTGACCGTCCAAGTTAACGGTCAAACATCGGGTTTGGCCAAATTGTTTATTTTGGTGTATAGTTCGGGCCAGAATGTTATAGATCGAAAAGATTGGCCAGGATGTTTATTTTGGTCAAAGTTCAGGCCATACGAAAATATTAACCTAACAAAAAATATTAATTTCCTCATATTAATTTTTTCACATTTGCTATTATGACACAACAACTCCCCCCCCCCCCCCTCGAAACTTAAATCCTGGCTCCGCCCCTGAATATAACAGTCAACTTTTTCACCGTAGCAATTTATTGACACTTGCTTATGTAGATGTTGCATATTTTGTTACATGCAGTTAATATGAGTTTGTTTAGTACCCCCGTAAATGTACTAAATGAGTTTATAAATTCGCTCTTGCAAGATTTTAGAGTCTTCTCTATTTTATCATTTATTTAATGTTTCACGTAGTGAGCAGATATAAAATGGTCGAATCTTCTCACAGAGTTGAGTAATATAACATCTTGTATGGTACAAACTAAATTTATACTTTTGCGTTATGGTGGATTGGATTCATGGATTGGTGGATTGAATTTATGGATTCAAGTGAAATCTAAACATTGGACCAATATGTAAATCTAAAAAATTGTAGGTACGAAAATCTCATAAAATTTAAATACCAAAACATAATTGCTCAATGATTTTACATTAAAATTATATTTGGGGTATCATAATGCAAAATGACTAAATTTTTATTTAATTAAAGTTAGGGTATAAAATGTAAATGTATTAGACAATAGTAATCTAACTTTTGCTTAATATATATTAATATTAAGAAAACTAATTGCCCCAATAAACAAACATCAGAATATGACGGACAAGATAATGGAGATGTGTTGTAGATCGTGCGCGTTATATGGAGAACTGAAGAACTTAGTGATGACCATCCCTAAACTAGTGGAACACGCCTGAACAACAACAAGAACTCGCGATTAAAATTTTGTCGACTTGCAGTAATTTTGAAAATAGAATAGAAGCTGGAGGTGCGCTACAGTGAGTTGTTTCGAAATTTTACATTTTGATTGTAAGGTTGAGGAAAATCTGAACGTGGGAAAATATCTTTGTTAACACCTAAAACTTGATTTAGGGTGGTTTGGACATTGTTTTTTTTTTTTATAATGGCGAAATTTGCATTAAAAAGGAAGAAGAGTCCAGTAAAGCAGGGCTGGGGTTCACAAGCAATGAACCACCTCCCCCAGAATCTCCAACAGAACAATCCAGAAAAACAAAAGCGACAGGATGGTTTGGATATTATGATTGTTAAATAAATATATTGTTGTGAATACATATATAATATTATACAGATATGTCATATTGATTACTTATAAAGAATTAAATGAAATGTTTGAACTTGGAGCTACCTTTGGATATTTGGTAACTAGCATCGGCCCCGACCAGTTGGCCGGATGAGTTTGATTATTATGTTTTTGTATGTGTTGCTGCATTTATAATGTGTGTAAATAGTAAAGATACACAATATGTCTAAAAAATATATTTATGATGATTTTGATATAGTCCATTATATCTATGGAAATATTTTCTAGTATATATCATCTTTGTTGATCATGACACGGTTTATAGATATGAAATTGTATGATTTGAAAGGGCATGCTGGGGATCGATAGTCACAAATGAATGACCTAAATTGCTAGTCACAATTTTGATATTGAGCCTCATAGGTTTCAAATTCACTTAAAAAGCACAGAAGAGATTAGGAGCATAAATCAAGCACTCCAATAAATTGAAAGCTAAATATCACCAAGATCTTACAATCCCTCGATAACTGAAAAAGAAAGATTTTGAAATCTCTTCCAAGAAATAAGCTTAATAACATATTCACAAAATTGTTCCAATCCTTCCCACAACAGGTCAAGGAGTTAGACTCCTCCGACTACCAAAGATTCATCTCCAAATTTAATTTTTACATGCCTAGCCCTCAAAATCCAATTTGAACCATGATATAATTAACCTATAGAGCTAAAAAGGAAATACACATGTTCTTGCGATTAGTCTCACCTAAAAAGCCGAATGAATCTAGGAGATAGAAAGATAAATATATTATTACCCTAAAATTGCTGCCCAAATATCATTGGTTTGATTATTACATATCGAATAGAAATATTAAATATGTAAAAGTGTTGTTGAATTCTTAAATTAGTATTAGTTTTCATAACTATTATGAAGCAATCAGATCTTTGTGCAAATTATATGAGACTGGTTCTTTTAACGTTTTAGTCGGGTTAACCACTAAGTTTTAAACCTCTTCCTAATTTGGTATGATTGAATCCAATGATCGTTATACGACATTGAGTTTAATAGGGTGGCTCATTTCATCACTTTTTGGCATGCTGATGAATTTTTAGGGCAATTACATGTCTATATCTGCACTCATCACAATCTACACATAATATAAAGGTGAAATGAGAAATGTGGGATCCCATTTCAAATTTGCTTCATCCAGAGAAATTTTTGGATGGGTAAATTTAAAAGGTGCAGTACGGACGGTATGTTGAGCACGAATATAAAAACATGTTTCGATTCAAATGGACCTGAACTGTGATTTGGCCCACTAATCGTGCACTCATCACAGCCTTGCTAAAGCTTCTCATTCTACTCACCGGGTCATCTCCTCCACAAACCTACTATCCTCATTTACTGAAAGTTCTCACTGAACTCTAATCGCCACAACCTAGGTAAAAGATTCTAACTGGAATGCGCAGAGGGAGAAACCGATGGATTGCAGCTACCCCCATTGTTCTGATAGCTAATCAATAAGACCACGTTTGTTCAGCTATATGGTTATTCACTTAATTAACACACTTCACTCCATTCCCAACCTCCTCTCCTCAGTTGTATTGTGTTTATAAATATCTGAAGGCAGCAAGTGCAACAGGTCCAGGGGTAACCGATATGTATAAAGTGTCGACCAGATTGAATTTGTCGTTGTATTAGGAATATTAAGATTTTTTGCTTAATTTCTTTAGTTTGAATGTAGACCAACGCAAATGGCAGTACAACTCCAGATTTATTATGAAATAAGGAAGCTGGAGCATTAATTGATAATGATTTGCGACTATCCGATTTCCAACAAGTACAAAATTTTAAATAGACTTTTATCTTGCATTGATTAATAATAGTTTGAGTTTTGCAAATGAGTCTTTGATTTGATATGTTAAACTCGCCACTTTTTAAAAATGGAACCTTCGAAGTGGAATATGAAGATTTTGGATTAATCTTGGTTTCGTAATGCCCTTATGGGTGTTTATTCTCTAAAAAGCAGTTGTATTTCAAAGTAACCCATCGCAATCAGCAGGGAGCTGACTGCACCCATTCTACTATTTCATTTAGTTAAATACTCAGTTGTTCTTTTCAACTAAAATTTGTGCTTAAATGGTGTCATTGACCTGAGAAATATATCTCTTTGCATTAAATATTAAGGTCTAATACCAGTGGGAAACCCGAAGTATCAATAAAGTGGCATCTGTATCCCAAACTATTCAATATGACATTTATATCGAGAACAATTTTTTTCGTTAGTGTTGACCGAGTTCGATTGTCAATATTTAATAGAAAATTCAGTCCGTGTCGATGTGGTATCTGATATGGAATTTTAAATAGTAATTTTTATTTATATTTTCATCTAAAATTATTAAAATAAGAAAAATAAAAATGGAAGGTTACAAAAATCCCCAAATTGTCTTAATCGCTCCGTCGATTCCGCTCCTAAGTCAACATTAAGTTAACCATCTTGTGGTCAACCATTATCTATAACGCTTAATAAATTGTGAGGACATAAATGACACACAACTATCAAACTTTGGGACATAAATGGAATATTGCATAGTTCGGGACACAAATGACACTTTTTCGATAGTTTGGGTTTTCCAGTGGTATTAGCCCAACTGTTAATGATAGTAAGTTTTGGTTTAATGGTGAAATGTCAATTTATTTAGAAGTAATCCAATGCTTCAACTTTGTTTTGAAATTTGAATTGGACAAACTTGCATACATTAGTATTTTGGTAAAATTTTAAATACTCGAATGGTCGATTCTTTTCTTTTTTTATATCTATATTCATATTAATTATGAATAACAAGAGAATAAAAAGTTAATAGCGAAGATTCTTGGAATTTAGGAAATTCTTATTTCTCCGCATATACAATTACTCTTATGTGAGTCCGCATAGCTCAGAGGTTAGAGCATCGCATTTGTAATTCGATGGTCATTGATAATTATAAAAAACTTATTGATTTCATGTGCTTAATGTGATTATTTAATGATATATTTGAGACATAGAATGTTTGTTTTAGGGCCAATTGACTATTGAATGGTTGAAAATCCATTACCATCGGGTGCTAGAGTTTTGGTGTATTTCAGGTGAAAAAATAGACGACATAACAACATGATTGATGGGAACATAAATGGATAAAGAACGAACACATATATTAGTTGCAAAATTATTTGGACATAGAGCAAACTTTTGGGCCCGATGGGTAGCAACACAAG